ATGCTGTCAGGGCTAAACCCCGAATCACACCGATTTACGGCTGCTATCAATGTTGACCGCCATTCTGCATCTTTGGGAAAGCCAAAGTAATTAATACACTGTCCTGTTTTCTTACTGGAGTTGGTACAACCGACCACACAACAGTGTTTGCCACCCATTGTTTTACCCCTGGAGCAAACCGGAAGTTGCTTTCTATACCACCCGGTGGGGGCGCTGCGAACATCGGGAAGCTCCTTGGTTGATTATAGAGCGTGACGTCATGGAGTCGGCGGTCCCGTTAATTTAGGTCTATGGTATTAATGATTTCTCCAAATGATTTTCTAATATTCTAGTTTTGTCAACGATGGGAAAAAACGATCCGGATAAACCAATTCACCCTTTTACGATGTCAACAACTTAATTTTTATTTCCTATTTTATTATTTTAAAATGTGGAGTACGTTATGACTCAATTTGTTTGAAATAAAATAACAACCTTTTTCCCATTTGGTATTAACACGGAATTAGATTAGTACGTGGTATTAACTAGCAAACTCGATTTTTTTTTTAAATTACTATTATTATCATATTCTACCATGCAGCCATATGACAGAATATATAATAATAATAATATTTATTCAGGTAAAAGGCAAATAATACACGTATATCACATTTTGCAGATTGGACATAAATATATATATTATCACAGAATGAGATCTTATTTATAAGTTATTATATATATATATATGTCATTACACAACAGGTGAAAACATTTTCGAAATTATGTAACATAGGTGATGGGTTTTTTAAAACTTAAATGTTATAGAGACCATTAACTGGGGCGGATCCAGGGTTTCGCGAAGGACATGCAGGGGACGGCAGCCTAGCTATGGGAAGCCGTTTGGGTTTGTACGCGTTTAATTCAGATATCTGCGTGTTTAATGTAGATATCTATATTAATTGCATGATAAGAGATATCTGTATTTAAAATTGAGATATCTGTATTAATAATAGAGATATATACATTTGAATTACAAATATATGCATTTTAAATACAGATATATACATCTATTTTAAATGTATATATATCTCTTATAATTATGACATAAATACAGATGTGTAACTTTGCAATAAATAGAGATATCTGTATTTTAACAGTTATATACATTTCAAATAGAGATATCTGTATTTTAAGAAAGACAGAAAGGGAAAATTAACCAATATTTAAAAATCTTCTTCTCCAGACACAGAGGTACTACAGTCATTTTCTTTGCATGGATGGCAAGATCATCAGGAGCTTTATTTGAATTGTAAATTTCAGGACCCCCCCGAGCTATCCGTTCTCCCTTGGGGAGGGGGTTAAGTTTACTATTGTTTATATAGGGAAATAATACTTTTGGGTATATTTTGACAACTTTGACAACTTTCTATAGGAAATTATTCTTACTTAGTGCGAATTATCCTTGGAGGAAGATTGTTTCAAATTGTAAAATTGGGATTCCTACCCCAACCCCTGGGGCCAGGGCGGGACCCCAAAGGGCAAAATTCACCAATATTTAAAAATCTTCTTCTCCAGACTCAGAGGTGCTAGTCATTTTCTTATCAGATTACTAGGTACGACCTTATTTAATAAACGAACATCATTGGTCCGACCGGTTTGACCGTTTAAACGAAAACGGCCCATGTCCGCGGAAGACATCTACGAAGCATTTTTCTGTAGATCAACAAGAAATGTTGTTTTTGATGCAAGGCAGCTAGGTGGGGTCGACTTTTCGACATCGACAGCTTTTCCGCCCTTCTCGTATATATGATCACTGGGAGTATCATTTTACCGAACGTCGATCTAAACCCCTAAAACATTTAAAATTACTCGGAACACCTTAGTTTAGGTCCAAATAAAGCTGTGATAAATGCTCAGGTCCCTGTTGGTACATGGCGTTTACTACAGGTTGTCTGCCATTCTGTCAGTGGCGTATGCTCAAGCATTCACTGAAGTTTTCATTTTTTTTCAATCATGTATCCGTGGACACAGGCAGATAAATAAGGCCTGTATTCATAAAACCCGTTCTCAAAATCCAATTCTGTGATAAGTAAATAAAAATATAATATTTTGTAGAAGATTTGTTCAAGAGATAAGTTAAAATGTGAAAACGGTTTTCAAAAGTTAACCTGGTCTTTTGACCATTTCTCATGCTTGATATGATGAATCTCCATGACGTCATTGGGGTTTCTGCCTGTCTGCGCAGTATCAGAAGATATTTTCCCTGCCTGCATGAGTTTACTGTATGCTGTCTGCCCTTTTCTATAGGGTGTCAGTATCACTGTATGGTTTCTATCATTTCATTGTGTCAATTTAGTTTATCTTCTAATCTACATAGCATCACTTCATTACTCAGCTTTCTGCCATTGTCTGCGATCTATACGTGTCATTTATGGTTTTATCGTGTTATTACACCCAACTGGGTGGTACATTGCATTCATTTATATGGTATGAATGGAACTAATTTGTGTCCCGTCTTCATACATCAATGTCGAGATTCCTCATTTGTTTATTTTCCTGCGTTTCATTGATAGTACTGCATAGCCGATATGCTCTTCGTTTTGGTTTTATTTTTTACTGCCAAGTCAAAGGTCACTTATATTGTAAGGACGTGCTCTCGTGTGTGTTATGTATGCTCGGTTGCGTGTATACATCTTGGGCTGGAGGCAGGGTATTGGTACATTTGCCGATCTAATTCCGACTTTAGAGTGCTATCTCACGGATTCGGCCTTCAACTGGTACAATTTTGAATCCTCAAACCAGCGAATAATGCTCCAACCCAATGGTTGATATCCATCGCCTTGTTCCAGAGAAGTCGCCAAAAGCAATATGGCCGATTTCTTTGTTTGCCTGCTTCAGCCCCATGGGTTCACCCCTGCTTACAACTTTAAATCCCAAACACATGAGAATGATTACAATCAAATAGTTGATATCCGTCACTTATTTTCACAGAAGTAGCTAAAAAATGACCCATTTTTGGCCGCACCCCTCATTTGTACAATTTGGGAGTCCCCGCCACCTGAGAATGCTTCCAACCAGATATGGTTGATATTCTTCCCTTAGTTCCAGAGAGTTGCTTCTTTGTCCCCACCCCTCCATTTGTACAATATTGAATCCACACTGCAATTTCTATTTGTGATTTACCCTGCCCTTTTTGGTACCCCGATAACCCACTTTTGGTCAAACTTTTGCCTTAGTTTTTGGTCATGTAATACAATAGGACATCTTTGAACAAATTGAGCAGTGCGGTCTGGCCCCACACCAGACATCTACCTGTCAAAATGTCCAAGTCTGGTGTCTGGGCCAGTATTCGTGAAACCGTTCTCGCGCTGAAGTCTTATTATTTTTTGTTCCTAATATAAATAATAAAAACTTTCCCCCCCACCAATGATTTGGAAAACAAATTGAAGATACTTGTAGCCAAATACTGATTTTTAATGTTTACATACGACTTTCTGATTGTTTGAAAAGATTTTAAGTTAGTTTCAAGTTTGAGCACAAAATCCATGCTCGAGCACGAGAACGGTTTCATTAACATTTGTAGACAGACCAATTCATTTCCTTCAAGTTAGACTTGGTCGATTCAATTTTAAGCTGTCCTTGAAAAAGACAACCGTTGTTATAATTACCACAGCTTCACTATGATATTGGTTGTTATCCTCTATATTGAAAGCTAGTGTAACCCATGGATATTGAGGATGCTCTGTTGTTATGTTGGCCAAGAACTTTACACTTATTGATGTTAGTTGTAAAACTAAATCCGTACATCTTGTGTAGTATACATTTTACTGAAAAGGTCAGGATTTCTCCCGTAATTTACAAGGTAATGAATGTATAATTTAGCACAATTTTAACTATGAGTGCCATCTGGATATGGAAGTATTATACACGTAGTACTGCCATGCTATTCAAAAATAGGTGAAATTCTACAGCTTACTTGCCACTTCCAAATTTACATGTTTCTTATATTAATTATAGTAAATTGAAAACTGAAAGTATAAGAGAATGTCCAACAGATTTATTTGTCTTCTGGCTTATTAAATACAAAAGTGAGGCAGCACTTTCCACAGTACTGGCGGTCAAAGTGAGAGGCCATGAACACACCAGCACCACAGTCATCGTTGGGACACTCTCGTCGCAGACGGGTGATCTTTCCGTTCTCGTCAACCTGCAACAATAGAACGAAAATACATTATTTTCTTAAGGCAATGAATCAAAAAACAATGATCAAAGTTGATTAAGAATACTTTGAAAGTATCATCTACATGAATTCCCCAACACCTGTAATAGTTTCTAGTCTGAAGTGACAACTTGTAAAAATGCACGCACGAGAAAAGTTTCCACTTTTACTACTCTAATGTGTAATTTACACTAACTATGACAAAAACAGTCGGCCACTTTTAGTACTGCTCAGTAGAGGTAACGCTTAGGGTTTGAGATCACGTGTGATCATAGGTGTCCTAAGTTCTCATCACTGCAGCTGATTACAAGAAGCATTTGTTTTTTAAACGTTACCCATTGATTTAATTGCCTTTAGATTTCATCAGAGCAGTCAAAAATATTAACATCAATATTTTCTTGGAATTTATGCCCCAACAGCTAATTTCAGGCGACAATAGTGATGATGTCCACTAGACAGCCCCACTCTGACCTCAATGTCACAACTTGATCAGAAAGCTCAACTCATTGATCACCTCACATTCACAACTCTGACACATAACCATATAATGCTGATTCCTTCAAGAAATAGAAAATTTAAGAGCCAACAGTGATATTCTGTTGGAATTACTCCTACGAAACCAGCTCAATTTATACACCAAAGATAATATCTTGTAACAATACCTTAATTACGATACCTTAAAGTTTCAGTATAAAATTTCTTCTTCCATGTATCATTTAAATCCAGTCAAAGTGCTTCAAGAATGCAATAGGAATTTTTCTTTGATGCCCAAGTAAGAATATTGAGCAATATTTTAAAACAATTAAAACACTAATCATCATGATAGAAGCACTAAGACCCTTCAAATATTTTCGAGTCTACAGATATATATATTGTGGAGAGAATAAAATGGTTAATCATATACACAAAGACATGAAACAAATCGCTCAGTAGAAATCATTTTGACGAATCACAACCATTTCATAAGGTGTCCTAAGAGTTTTACATCACAGCCATTGTTTCAATCTTGTGTCTTCAGATAATGACTTATATGATATATCCTAACTATGTAATGATAACAGTATCTACAGAAATATAAGACTATCCTTTTTTAAATACATGTCAGATAAGGATGAAAGTAACCTGCTCTATAGAAATGAGCAAGAATCATAGAACTATCATGTTCCCTCCATCATTGCAGCTCTTCTTACTTCATTCAGTGTAAGTTACGAGACTAAACCCCGAGTACCCTCTCAGCATATTTTCATGACGAGTCAACAATTTCCACCAGTTACAATTTCAATCATGAAGATGGGTCATGCACTGCTCAGTAGAGGTAACGCTTAGGGTTTGAG